GGCACAAGCTACATCAAGTAGATCTTTACTGTAGCACAAGCTTCAGATAAGCTGAAGTAACTTACGCAAGCAACAGCTACTTCAGCTTACTTTAGCTTGTGCTACATTAAAGATCGCTGATTTTTACTGAAACACAAGCTACATCAGCTAAACTAATCTTTGCTACAGTAAATAACAGTGATCTTTAATGTAGCACAGATTAGCTTAGCTGATGTAGCAATCTATAAGGGACATCTACGTGTATATCATTGTAAATACTTACTCTGCCAGTCACCAGAACTTTATTAGCATGAAGAGTTCGGACGTCCTTCACAAATCCGTTATTGATTTTAAGCATCTGTAGATTTAAAGCTGCGAAGATCCTCCGTTTTAGGCACTCCTCGTGTTCATTAATAATTAACAATATTAAAGTAACTTCTCGGTGACAACTTGTCTGTTTCGTCTGACATCGTTTCTTTCTCCACCTCATAGGGACCTCAGCTATTTTATGCCTATATCTTGCTCTTGGTCAAGAGTATCAATATACTGAGCTCTGGTCTGTCTGTATGCAATGTTCTTTACATGCGCCTCAACAAATGGCGGAAAACCCAGTATTGTGTAATACCGGTCACGTGTGTGGGAACTACAAAAACAGATTCCTAAAAAGTTGGGACACTAAACAAATTGTGAATAAAAAACTGAATGCAATGATGTGGAGATGGCAAATGTCAATATTTTATTGGTAATATAACATAGATGACAGATCAAAAGTTTAATCTGAGTAAATGTATCATTTTAAAGGAACAATATGTTGATTCAAAATTTCACAGTGTCAACAAATCCCAAAAAAGTTGGGACAAGTAGCAATAAGTGGCTGGAAAAAGGAAATTGAGCATGTAACGAACAGCTGGAAGACCAATTAACACTAATTAGGTCAATTGACAACATGATTGGGTATAAAAAGGGCTTCTCAGAGTGTCAGTGTCTCTCAGAAGCCAAGATGGTAAGAGGATCACCAATTCCACCATTGTTGCGCAGAAAGATAGTGCAGCAATACCAGAATGGTGTTACCCAGCGTAAAATAGCAAAGAGTTTTAAGTTATCATCATCAACCGTGTATAACATCATCAAAAGATTCAGAGAATCTGGAACAATCGCTGTGCGTAAGGGTCAAGGCCGTAAAAATTCTACTGGATGCTCGTGATCTCCGGGCCCTTAAACGTCACTGCACCTGAAACAGGAATTCCACTGTCAAGGAAATAACAGAATGGGCTCAGGAATACTTCCAGAAAGCATTGTCAGTGAACACAATCCACCGTGCCATCCGCCGTTGCCAGTTGAAACTCTACAGTGCAAAGAGGAAGCCATTTCTAAGCAAGCTCCACAAGCTCAGATGTTTGCACTGGGCCAGGGGTCATTTAAAATGGAGTGTGGCAAAATGGAAGACTGTTCTGTGGTCAGATGAGTCACGATTTGAAGTTCTTTATGGAACACTGGGACGCCATGTCATCTGGACCAGAGAGGACAAGGATAGCCCAAGTTGTTATCAGCGCTCTGTTCAGAAACCTGCATCACTGATGGTATGGGATTGCATGAGCGCTTGTGGCATGGGCAGCTTGCATGTCTGGAAAGGCACCATTAATGCAGAGAACTATGTTCATGTTCTAGAACAACATATGCTCCCATCTAGACGTCATCTCTTTCAGGGAAGACCCTGCATTTTTCAACACGATAATGCCAGGCCACATTCTGCAGCAATCGCAATATCATGGCTACTTAGGAGAAGGATCGGGGTACTGAAATGGCCAGCCTGCAGTCCAGATCTTTCACCTATAGAGAACATTTGGCGCATCATAAAGAGGAAGGTGCGACAAAGAAGGCCCAAGATGATTGAACAGTTAGAGGCCTGTATTAGACATGAATGGGAGAGCATTCCTATTTCTAAACTTGAGAAACTGGTCTCCTCTGTCCCCAGATGTCTGTTGAGTGTTGTAAGAAGAAGGGGGGATGCCACACAGTGGTAAAAATGGACTTGTCCCAACTTTTTTGGGATTTGTTGACGCCATGAAACTTGGAAACAACAGATTTTTCCCTTAAAATTATACATTCTCTCAGTTTAAACTTTTGATCTGTGATTTATGTTCTATTCTGAATAAAATATTAGATGCTGGCACCTCCACATCATTGCATTCAGTTTTTATTCACAATTTGTTTAGTGTCCCAACTTTTTTGGAATCCGGTTTGTATGTATTGTACAGTGTATCCAGCAGAGGGCGCATGAAGACTAATTTTAGGTCTTGGCTGTTCACTTTAACTTTCACTTTTGATGTTCAGCACAGCTGAAGCAGGGAGCAATACTGTGCTGCATATTTTGTTGAACAGACCATGATAAGTTTATTGTAACAGAATTGTAAAATAATAAAAATTAACAATAATAAATTCTCTTCAATCCTCCAACCCTCTTGCCGTTAGCTATGTGCCTCTCTAGTTAACAAGCTAACGTTAGTGTGGGTATGCTGTCCTCGCAACATGTGACTATGCTTGCTTTCTTGATTTTACTGAAGATCTTTATGAATTTGTAAAAAGACAAAGTCTCCCAAGGCACAAGTGTGTTGGGCACATTTAGCGTGTAGAAGAGCTGTTTTCTCCCAGGGGGCTGAGATGGTGCTGGGGGAGGGCAGCCGACTCGGGACCCGAAGGCCCTGGGCTCAATCCCCGGTCCTTGCACACCTCGTGGTGTCTGAGCAGGACACCTCATCCTCATTTGCTCCCCCGGCGCCTTCTACAGCTGCCCACTGCTGCACCTAGTGGTGGATGGGTTAAAAGCAGCAAGCCAATTTTGTCTTTGTATGGGAACATACAATGATAATACATAACACATTATTTTACGAAGCACTTGTTTTACCGGAGAAAAGACATCAAAGATTGTTATGTGGTGAGAGCACTCACTACCTCACGTGCTGCAAGTACAACATGAAGATCAGATGTCTCGCTCTGATTGGAATTCAAACCCAAAACATTTTAAGTTTTTAGCATGAATTAATTTTTGTACCACATGGTGCGAAATACAAATAAAGAACCTTGAATCTAAACTAGCGTATTTTCCACTGTACACATCGCTCCACCCTATAAGTTGCATCAGTCCATATTTGTCTAATAAAGTGGAAATCCCCATAAATATGTTGCTTGGCCGTATACGTCGCATCTATTGTGCGTCACCGCTGACGCATCGCGTTTATTACTCGTCACCACTGACAACCCGGAAATGTGGGCCGGTGTTGTGCCATAAAACGATGAGCTGCCAAATGGCAGCCACGGGAGTGTGCATGGGAGGAATTTAACAACATTATCACTTAAAAACAATTATTTGTTTGCTCGAAATTATAGTACATCTGTGTCTCAATCTAACGTTTGCTAAATTAATGCACTTTGATGGTCAAATCAGCTGAATTTCAAAAATAGTTTTGCTGCCTTTGTGCTGCAAAGTGGAGCTGCCGCTGCATCTCTTTAAAATTTAACAAGATAACCACCTATAAAAATTAATTTTTGCTCATAATTATAGCAAAGGTGTGTCTCAGTCTAACATCTGCTTAATAAATGTACTTTAATGATCAAATCAGCTGTATTTCAAAAATAGTTTCACTGCCTCAGTGCTCCATGAACGCGCAGAGGAAGAGAAAAGGAAGGAGGAACGCGGCTCGTTTCTCCAAAAATTAACAAGAAAATCATCTAAACAATTATTTGTTTGCTCGAAATTATAGTAAATGTGTGTCTCAGTCTAACATTTGCTTAATAAATGTACTTTAATGATCAAATCAGCTGCATTTTGCTGGGGTGATGCAGCTGTTTTTGACAGTTCCAAGCAACGAGTAGAATGAAGGTGGGGAGGTTATGGCAGGCCGACTGAGTCATTAATAGCTGGTGAAGATTCTCAGTCATCCAGGACATGGTAAATTCAAAAAAGTTCAAGAAAAAAAAACAATAAAGTATAGTAAATAAAGTCCAGTTGTTTTTGTGTTTAACTTTTTTGGATTTGTCATTATAGCCACGTTTACCTATTACATGATACAATGGCATGCCATATTCTATTACTACTCTGCTGCCATCTAGTGGCTGAAAGTGGTACTGCTAAAAAAAAAAAATTTCAGTCAGAATGAATGGAAATGGTCATATCTCAACCAAAAAAATGGTTTATAAATATGGGAAAAAATCCTTAAATATGTCGCTTCGGCCCATAAGTCACACGGCATGTAAATTATGCAAAAAAACTGACTTATAGGCCAAAAAATATGGTAATTATTAACTATAAACTTATTACCTCATTTATGTAACTTACTCAGGAGATGAACTTACTTACTGTCTGAACAAAAGACATCACAGTGAGACTAATAAAATCTGATTAGCGTAGCTTCATGGTTTCTAACAGCTGTGCTAAATAAACGAGCCCCACTCCACTCGCTGTTTACTGGGATTCTTGGGGGTGAAAAAAGCTCAGTATTTTCAGCCATTATATCGGTTATCGGTGGTCACCTAACCCTCCCAATGTCGTTATCGGTGATAGCCAAAATTTCCATATCTTTCGGGCTCCAAAAGGACTGAATGCGGTGGTTATTTGGTCTTATCTGTGCGCGGCACACATTAACCTTTATTTATTTTACCCTCTGAGCTCACAGATGTCTAACAAGGTCTTCCTGGGCCTGAAAGTCTTTGGACACAATCATTTGCGTAGTAATACAAACGGTGTCCTCTTTAAGGAAACGACACATTAAACGTGTTGCGCAAAATATTAAAAGTAAAATATGAGCTAATGTGGTTTGGCTCGTTTTTTTTTTGTTTGTTTGTTTTTTTGTTTTTTTAATATCACTGTGTTTTTGTTGGTAGTTATCATGACACATTTTGTTTTCAGTTGGAAGAAGAATTATTATCCTCAAACAAACTGTTGATCTTGGACCCCCTTCACTCTGGAGCTGTTCTGCATCTGATCTGTAGGTGTGGTAAAAATGTCATATTTGTTGTTTCAGGGCAGCCATTTCCCAGCCACACCTACATCTGCTCGCTGTGTGGAACCTTCTGTCCCGGCTCCATGTTCCTGGAAGAACACATCAAACTGATACACCCCGACTCTGATGAAACCCGAGCCTTCAAGGCCCTGCAGTGCACCTCTTCTGCTGCTCTCTCCATGGTAGATGGGACTGATTCTGTGAGAGCTGTCGGCGAGGACGGACCAGGTTCTGGTGTCGGCGTGGGTCGACCTTTGAAAAAGGAGATTAAAATTGAGGGTGGGTATGAATGTGGGGACTGCGGCCGCCATTTTAACTATCTCGGCAACCTTCGGCAGCACCAGCGCATTCACACCGGAGAGAAACCGTTTGTTTGTCCGGAGTGCGGGGAGAGATTCCGCCACGCAGCCCGTTTGAAAAGCCACCGGTTGGTCCACAGTGGCGCTCAGAGTCCATTTCCCTGTCCGCAGTGCGGTAAAGGCTTCTCGGTGCTGTCTGGACTCAAAAGACACCAAAGGGTGCACACCGGAGAGAGTCCGTATGCGTGCCCTCAGTGCGGCCGCTGCTTCAAGGAGCTCGGGAATCTGTACACCCACCAGAGGATTCACAGTGGGGCCACACCTTACTGCTGTCAGCATTGTGGACGCAGCTTCCGCCATCTTGGAACGTATAAGAGTCATCGCTGCATGCCGGCACAGTAACCTGCTGCTGAGGACTGAGACCAGATTCTCTAGACTCTGTACCCTCGTTTGTGGGAAGAACTGGTCCTCCAGAAAATACTTTGCCCAGCAGGTTCATGGTTGACTGAAGAGTCCCAATGTTCTGGAGCTCTTAATGAAAACGTGTTATATGAGGGCGTCTGGCTAGCCTGCAGACTTCAAACCAGATCATGTTAAGAAGTAATTGTGTCTCATTTCATTATGTCCCCATCAACAGCTGGACGTGACCACAACTGTTCACAGCAAACATCAGGATGTTGAGCTTGTTGTCACCAGAAGTCCAGCATCAAACCCAGACTCTGATGTTTTACTGCATCACACCTCTAAATGTCTTCATTTGTGTTAGAACATCTTGAACATCTCATGGACTCGCTGGAGTACTTTATTTTCAGGAGAACAAACTAGATAGCAGATTAGTTTTCATCAGGAGGAAGGAAACAACAGAAGTGTACATTTATGAACCTAATTTAAAGAAGCATCTTCTGATAAACAAATTTTCATGTTCTCCTGTATGTTCAGCAGAACCTTTCAGATCTGCTGATTCCTGAAGAAAAGTCTCTGCTCTGTGGAAACACGCATCTTCATCCTGAAAACGAACACCATCATCAGTATCCTGGTTTCCCGATAGACTGAGGTCATTTCCTGTAGACGATTTCCTGAACATTTCTACCCTTTCAAAATAAAACTCCTTCAGTCAGATGTTTCCATCCGCTCATTGTGGGCTTGCATGAAAGATGATTTTTTTTCTGATTTATTTGAACTTTTCCTTAAAATGATTATACGACTTACACATTTCATAATTTAATATTCATTTGTTCAGAAGTGGTGCTAAAGCTTTGAGAATGCATTTTCAACACCATCGTTGGTGATCATGAATGAAGGCAGTTTTGTTTTTTTTTGTTTGTTTTTTTTTCTTACAGCATGCACAGCACGGTGGCACAGTTGGTAGAGCTGCTGCTTCTCAGTAAGCAGGTCGCCTCGGTTCAAATCCGGGTTGGGAGACTTTCTGGGTGGAGTTTGCATGTTCTCTCTGCATGCGTGGGTTTTCTCCAGGTACTCCAGTTTCCTCCCACAGACCAAAAACATGCATGTTAGGCTGATGGTAACTAAATTGTCCCTGTAATTGACTGGAGACCTGTCCAGGGTGTTCCCTGCCTCGGATGGATGCATGGATGGATGGATGGATGGATGGATCCATCCATCAGCTTCCAAGACTCTCAGCTCAGATATGGACCCAAACTGTCTCCTTCAGACACAAGGAGAGAGGTTCTGGAGCAACCCTGGAACCACCACTGTGTCCCTGTCCACAGTGAAGTCCATTTGATCTCACCGAGGACTAAGGAGACCAAGAAGAAGCTCCAAAACGTTCAAGCTGGACTGAAACCTGGAGCTGTCCCCACTGATGAGACAAAGGTCTTCTGGAGACAAGTGTAATGGTCAGGTGAGGTAACATAAAGCTGTTTGCTTTAATGAAAGAATTATGTTTGGAAGAGTTGAAGTGAGGCGTTTTGACCCAAGAGCACAAGAAACAAGCACAGTGGTGGTAGCATCATGTGGCACAAAGTGGATCCAGTAAGGAAGGAAGAAGACGTCCAAACTCCAGCCTCACCTCAGATTAACAGCTGGAAGTAGAAACGTGTACACACTCAGGTCTTTCATCAGAACGAGTTGTTTTTCACGTTTTAAGGTGAATTTTAAATATTTTCCTTCACCTTTATGTTGACGTGTATGCTTTGGTCTTTTTCACTCATTTAAATCTGGATTTCTTTTGATCTGATTAGAGTTGGACTGTTGTAGGTCCAAACATCCACAGTGCTCTGCTATAGCCATACCTTTCAAACTCCATCCATTTACTAACTTCTTCATTTGACGGGTCGCAGGGGTCATTGATGCCCATGTCCAGCAGTCACTCTGTGAGAGGTGGGGCCCTGGCCAGGTCTGCAGGCCATACAGGCACACCTGGACATGTCTCCAGTCAATCACAGGGACACCTTGACATGTCTCCAGTCCATCACAGGGACACCTTGACATGTCACACACACACATATATATATATATATATATACACAATAACACACATATATATATATATATATATACATACATATATATACATATATATACACATACATATATATATACATATATACCATACCATACCACTTTATTTATAAAGCACTTAAAACAGCAACAAGGCCAACCAAAGGGCTGTACAGACAAAACAACAGGTAACACACAAAGCAAAATACAAAATGAGGTAAATCAGAATATAGACCAAAAAAAAACCCATGCAGATGACGACAAACCAGTGTGGAGCATACAGGATCAAAACACAGATCATCTTGTGTTGAAAGCTACTGAATAGTAGTGAGTTTTTAAATGGGACTTGAAAACCGAGAGGGAGGGGGCCTGTCTGACAAGCAGAGGTAACTCGTTCCAGAGTCTTGGTCCTGTTACAGAGAAGTCCCTGTCACCTCTGCGCTTAAGACGAGTTCCTGGAACTGTGAGGAGCAACTGGTCCGCTGACCTCAGGGAGCGTGGTGGGACATACGGTTGTAGCAAATCAGAGAGATGGGGGGGGGGGGGGGGGGGG